ATTCGATTCCACGTGTGGTTTTCCAGCGGATGGTCCTTCTGAAGAATGGTCCTTGTTCTCGCACAATACTGGTTCCCTCCGTACGACGATGCAATGGCAAACTGCCCAAGACCCGGTCATCTGTGTTCAAGAGCCACGTATAGGTCGGAATAATCACCGTGATGCCACCTTTCGTGTACAAGCCACAGGCCGCCAATTGTTTCCGTCTAAGCTCTTGCCGGGCCTCATTACAAACCATGGTGTTTCCCGTACACCTCATGGAGGGTCAGCGATCCTTGCTCCACCCGAAACCACGCAAGCTTTTGATCCTCTTCAAGATCTCACAGGTCAATACCAAGGTCTTTTTGAATCCACTAGAGTTTCTGCGGTTTGGCACCAGGTCTCGAGGCCGGGCCCTCATTTGGTCCTTCTACGGTAGAACTGGAGCCTCTTCCGAACAAGACCCCCACGCTTGGAACGATAGGGTGTTGGAACAAATCTTCGAGATTTCCTCTCAATTTGGAGACGTGCCGGTGGTGATCGCGGGGGACTTCCAAGCCGAGCCACTTTCTTACCCTGCTGTTGCAAGTGCAATCCATTTTGCCAAGTGGGAGGATCCCTTCCTCTCCTTCGATGCTGAGGGGCTCCCGTCCCGTGAACTCACGTTTTCATCGGATAGGTCATTCTCCGGTCAAGAAGGGTGTTCGAGCATTGATACCATCCTCCTCAATCATGTCACGTGTGCGGCCCTTGTTAGAACGGAAACGGTGACTTCCTTTGAAACTCAACATCGACCTTTGAGGATTGTTTGTTCATGGCCCCGGATTTTTATCTCCGGTTTCATTCACCATCGCACTGCTCCGTTATGTGTTGACACTGGCCAAGCGAACCCCTCGGAGTCTCACTTCACTGGCCAACATGCAGACGCCCTTTGGTCTGACTCCTTTGCACAGGCCTTTGATGATGCCGAAGATGTGGACTCCCAATGGAAGATCGCAAATGACTATTGTGTCTCGTTCCTCCTCCAGAATGGTGCACGTTGGGGTAAAGGTCCTAAGCTTCGTGGGCAGCCGCCGATCTTTCGCTCCAAACGTGTCTGCCCGGGGCAGAACTTGTTTGGAGGTGCCTCTAAGAATAAACTTTCGAGATTCTGTCGGGCATACAGGGGACTTCAAGAGCTTTTTGCCAGGTTTTCTCGTTTGCAAGGGGGCCTTCATGACACACAGGTCACGTTGAATACTTGTTTCAAACTTCGTAAGGTGTTAGTTGAGCTTCAATCCCCATGGGTATGGCCTCATGGGGCGGTTCCAACTTTGTTGCAGGTGTGGTCCAACCTTTCCTGGGTGGGAGATGCCGCTCGTACTTACGATGTCAAGACCAAACTGGCACGCATCCATCGCTGGAGACTGAAGATTCAAGAAGATGCTCGTTGTGGGAACAAGTTCATTTTCAAACATCTTCGCAACCGTGCTTGTGAAGAACCGGCCAACTTATTGCAAGATTCTGAAGGAAACATCATCGTAGATCCGAATCAGGCCATTAGCACCTTCAATAACGCCTGGGATGATGTTTTTGCTTGTAATATCCAAGCCGATCACCCCCTTCGCATGTTGGATGTCATTTGGCCTTACATCCGTGACCATGCTGAGCAATTTGAGTGTCAGCCAATTGATGAACATGCTATGTGGACCACGATTCAGGCTAGGAATTCCCAAGCGGCCCCGGGTTTTGATGGTTGGCGAACTCAGGAATTGCAGCTGCTCCCTGCAGTATGCTTTCGTCCATTCGCCAAGATCTTCGCTGAGCTTGAGATCTCTGATGATCCGTTGCCGCCAACCCTGACGTGTGCCAGGCAGATCATTTTGAACAAGAATGGGTCTTCGCATCCCATGCAGAAACGTCTCATAACCGTTCTTCCAGTGCTTTACCTGGCATATTCAGGAGCTAGATTTAGACAGCTACGTGGTTGGCAGATCAATTCCATGCCATCCCAACTGGTAGGTGGAGTCCAGGGTCGCAGCATGTCTTGTATTCAGACTCAGCTGAAACTTGATATTGACATCGCCAATGCCCAAGAGTATGACCTAATTGGACTGAAATTGGACAAAGCCAAGTGCTTCGACAGGATCATCCCTTCCTTTGCCTCCTGTCTCATGCTGGCGTTCGGGATTGATCGTAAAATCGTTTCCATTTTCAGCAAACTGTATGATGGCCTCCACCGTCATCTTTCATTTAAGAGTTGGTGTTCACCTGTCGCTACCCATGCTGCTAATGGAATTGCGCAAGGAGATAGTTTCTCCCTCGTAGCCATCAATGTCTACTCGAAGGTCTGGGTGGTGTTCATGAACCTGCTTCCTGAAGTGGTAGCGATGGCTTACATCGATGATGCATACCTTTGGGCCCGACTCGAACACGCCCAGGTGTTGGCCCATGCCGTCGAAACCACACGGTTCTGGGACTTACTGTCCGGTCAGCTTCTCAATGACAAGAAATGTGTTGTTTGGGGGACCTCCACCAAGGCTAGAAAAGTTTGTAAGCAACTTTGGCCTGAGATGTTGCTTCAACTTGAAATCGATGTGCTTGGTGCTTCAATTCCCACCTCCAAACGCCAGGCGTTTCATTTTGAAGAAAAGAAGGTTACCGCCATCATCAAGGAAATCAAACATATTAAAGCCCTTCCGCTTCCTGTGAAAACCAAGTGTTTCTTCATTGGTGCCAAGGTCATTCCCAGGTTTTGCTATGCTGCCTCCCTTAACCAAATTCCCAAGGAATTTGCCAGAAAGTTCCAGTCGGAGATTGTGCATGCGCTATGGGGCCGAAGGCCGCATTGGCGGTCCCGTGCCCTTGTCTTGGCATTCCTGTCTGAGCCACACAGGAATGAACCGACATGTGCAAAAGCATATCACACGATCATGGAATTTTTGCGATTCCTTCGTATGCCGGGCAACGCCCTTGATAAGTGTAGATGGGCGGCAGCTCATTGTGAGTTGGAGACTGCTTTCTTGACTCGAGTCTCTCAAGCCTTTTCCTTTTTCGGCCTTCAGCTCTCCAAGGACTTGGTTATTTCGTTTAGTGGTAAGCTGCTCATGCCTGCCTGGGATGTACACCCCAAAGACATAAAAACGCTACTGCATCGCCTTTCGAGACATAAATGTTACCTTGAAGCTGCTATGCTAGTCAGCATCGCAAAGATTTTCGCCAACCGACGGGGATTTTGGATTTTGATCTTTCTTGTGGTCTTCGCAAGCATTCCAAGATTCAACATGAATCCAAGCCCTTGGTCGAGAGCCATTTTATTGCTCAGTTGGTTGGGTGCACGTTGACTCGTGACAGAATTTTCGCTGCCCAGCTTGACCAGACTGACCTCTGCAGATTCTGTGGCAAGGTCAAAGAATCCTTAACCCACCTGGTTCATGATTGTGAGCGATATCATGCTGATCATCCCCCTCTCCCTCTCCATGAATATGGGCCCAACTTTGGGCTTCTGGGGATCGTGGAGCACCCCATTGGGGTCATTAAGCACCGCCTTGATTGGAATGATCCGAACCAGATTCTGCAACCTCCATTTGATTCCCTCGCTCCGAAAGTTGAGTGGTGGTCTGATGGGTCGGTCTTTTGGCCCGACATCTTTTGGCTCTCAGCTGGCGGTTTTTCCATTGTTAACTCGCATTCCAAGGAACTCTTTGGAGGCCCTGTCCGTCATTTTCAGATTTCGGCCTATACAACGGAGCTTTGGGCTTTGGTTTTTGCTATTTGTAAGTGTGCAGGGCCCACAGAGATGTTCACTGATTGCAAGACAATTGTTGATCAGTTTCAAGAACTTTGCCTTTTGGGTGAACCCAAGGACTCGTGGTCTCATTTAGCGTGGTGGCATGCAATCTCGAAAAGATGGAACGAAATCCATCTTTGTCATCCGGTCCCCTTTTCCCTGAAGTGGATTCCATCGCACCTGTTCGAACATCTGCCAGAACAATTCATTACTCCGGAAATGGCTCATGCCCACAAAACGGAAATTCGACACATAATTGGCAATCGCTTTGCGGACAAACATGCCAAGATCCATGCTCTGGAAGCCACAAGTGTACACCCGAGAGATGAATGGCTCCTTAAGGATTCCATCACCAAAAGACAAGACTGGCTAACATGTCTAAACATGGACATTGCTGGCCTTCAGAGTACTGCGATGCTTGACAAACAGGAGGCACGATTTGCGGAAGAAGAAATGTCGGAGGATGTCTATGCTTTGTTTCCCAACTGGGACTGGAATCCTCAGCCCCAATGTTTTCAGTGGACTCCATCTTTTGATATGTCGCAGGTGGACATCCCACCAACTTGGTGTGACCGGGCTCATGATTGGACACAACTGGTTTCCTTTTTTGCTGCTCAAAAGTGGCGTGTTGCGGAGGATGCGGTTACTTCGTACATGGAACTTGCTGTCCTTTTCTATCTTCAAGGATGGTCCCTACCCTCCTATGACCCGTCACTTCACACTTTTCGTGACTTGGCGACTGACTTCAAGCAGGTGGTTGCGGCCTTTAGAACTCTTTCTCAGGACATGTTCATCCCCGGCCGTCACAATAGACACAGAAACAAATGTATAGGTAAATCCCTCCCGAATGGAACAATTGACGGAGCGGAAATTTTCTTTGATCATGAGCAAAAGGTCCGATTTGCTCGCATCTTAGCCAGTGTTTCAACTGCCCGTTTGCAAGCATGGGCATTTAGCTTTGACAGCGCGGAATCCTAATTTGGGGTCTCATGTGAAATCACATGAGTGGAGGATGCTATGCAGAATGCTTAGCATACCAGTCGAGTGAGATATCGTTCGACGCGACGGGGAGAACAGAATGGACATGAATAGACTCCTAGGCGGGGGGTCAAGCTTACGGCTCTGGGTTTTGACCTGACATCTATATACTAATATTACATGCAATGTATGTGCTATGCGGTCCATGGATCGTAGTCCACATGAAGCGTGGCGTAATTACTTCGGACCTGGTCCGATGCCCATGGCACCGAGCCTCATTCAGGATGGGCAGCTTGCCCTTCTTACTTTGGACGAGCTTTTGGAGGGCCTGGCGAGGAGTCGGGCGCGGAGTCGGGCGCGAAGGGTCCAACGCGATAGGTCGAAGAATCGACCGAATCAGGGTTCGGCGATCCAAAAAGGCAGCTCCTGCTTGGAGAAGCGGACCAGCTGGTCCTGTGCTTAGATAGTATTAGTTGAGCCGTCTCCTTTCTTGACAATCCAATCACCCTCAAAGAAGCCCAATCCAACTTCTAATTGCTTCAAATTGCAGCCCTGCAGCATGGTGAGCCTGAGAGTCCAGTTCTTTCATCACAACCCACAAATGTCGCGACGCCACCGCCCCGCCACCGCCCCACCACCTTGCCTCTCCCAAGGAAATGGGTTCGCAAGCTGTCAGGCATTTCGCCTCATTCCGGAAGACACCCCAAACAGAACTTCCTCTGGTCTGTCGAAACATCATAACCAGGGTAACCATTGAATCATTGAATCTGCTCCGAAGTGCCACCCACACCAACAGAACCCTTTTCAGGATGCAAGCATGAAAACCACCTCTGCTCGCCTAAAACCTGTATAGTGGAGGGAGTTGCAGCTGGCAGTCCAAGTTGATCATAGCTGCTCAACCTAGTCCATCCCACCCTGGTGTGATCTATAGTTTGGCCATATCTAACCTCTACACATCCATCAACTTCAAACATCACAACATGTCAAAGCCATCCCAAAACCATCCAAAATCTCTCCGCTTTGGGTCCCACCATCAATGTGTTTTTTTAACCGGGTCCCACCATCACCGCCTCTCCCATCCGCCGGCTCATGCCAGTCGTCACCCCACCGGTGAGTCGTCACCCCACCGGTGAACCGAACCGCAGACCGCCTTGGGTGTCATCACCTCAGAGAGTCGCACGGAGCGATCCTGGAGCAGTGTTAGTCGGCCGCAAAGCTGAGCGCCACAAGCTCGAAGGAATGAGAGGAGAAAGCGAGACATGGAAAACATTGTGTTGTTTGTTTTGCAATTATTCTGTTCTTGTTCTGTTTGTGAGAAGACAAAAAAAAATAAACATATACTTTCAAGATTCATTCATGAACGAACAGAACAAGAATCCAGAATCACATGCTATAGCTGGTCTTTCTCATCGTGGCTCTATGAGAGCAGGAATCACTAAGCCCATGGAGCCATCATTTGCGGGGTCAATCAGGGGTCTTCTCATCTCGGAGCACTATATTTTGAGCAGGAGCACGAAGCCCCAACATGGGGGTCAATGGTATCCATCTCTGTTTGGAGTGATGATTGGTTGTTCGGATAGCAAACATATGCAAAAAATGATCGATACCGGAGATGAGGTCTTGACCTAAGGCAATTATATTACACAATTATTATTCTACGTATTCAACGCAACGAAGCAAACGAAACTCAAGAAAGTACTGTAATTCATTCACATCAATCACATCCACGTCAATTTATGAGTTTTTTTCAGAATCCTGCTGATCTGATGGGTGGGCAGTCACTGCTCTACGGTTTCTGCTATTTTGGCTATTTGTGCGGAGGTGTTTCGTCGTGTCACTGCTCACCTTTCAGATTGGTTTGGACAAGCACTTTTCGATTCTGCCGCATCTGAACAGTTTGAGGAAGGTCGATTGCCAGCGCTGTTGTTGGTTGGAAGATGTTGGAAGCCCCCTGTTACATCTCGACCGACCTTCTGCAGCCGGTTCAGTAACCGGCTGACTGCACTGTCAACATGGGCTACTAGGATTCGACCGCTCGAGCTTCCTAGCGAGTGAAATAAAACATGAAGAATGATGAGTTGTTTGGATCTGTTTCCAAAAACATCAATTCCAGCCCATTGAACGAGTTTCAACATCCATAGCGCTGCTTGTTTCAACCTTCAATGCAGCCCTCTCTGCTTCGTCCTCAATGAAATCGATGTCGCGACTGGTGACAATACCCAGAAACCTCAGGGCCGGAATCGCTGAGCACGAAACCTTCCCCACCCAGCTGGGCCAATGATACAGTAACTCCAACCATCCGGGAATGAAACAGCTCGGATGAGGTGTTTCAGTACGGTGGTCAAAGACAATCAAAAACTGCTCGGAAAGCATGACTGCCAAGCTTGTTGACAACAGGAAAGTATTGTATGACATGCAAAAAAACATGACTTTTCTTGTCAGGTTCTTGCTCAGGAATGTTCAACATAACTTAACTACATATTGAATTAATTGCATCTCGGGTGGGGGCTAACTATGTTTCACCCCAAGCTGGCCTGCTTCAAAGTGGTCTTGTTTCTTTTTGGAAACTTTACTTTGTTCTCTAACTGTGGCTGGTTCAGGACTTGAAGAAACAACAGTCTTTTTCGCGTCTAGTCTTTTGTAAATTGCAGTGGTCGTTCCAATAAGTATTTGGTAGACCTGCGCCAGAATCCTTGCACTGTGACTCTGAATGATGAGTTTATCCAAGATACACATCCAACTGCACAGGTCCCCTAAAACATCTGCACAGCTGAAATTCTGGTCTGTGTGTGTCCTTCACGTGAGAAAACGTGAGAAAAAACTGATGTTCGCATTGGGAAACGGGTTCTTCACCAACCTGAACTAATGACTCTCCCACGTTTGGGTCTCATTCTTTCTACTTGATCTGCCTGGGAAGCTGGCCGATTCCCCATCATTCCCATGTCGGTGATGCAAACGGTGGAGACATCATGCTCTTGCCTGGTCCAGCGTTTCACCACCCGAAAAGGAGCGACACGGGTGGACACGAAAACGAACCGGCGTCATGTTCTGAACGAGAAGACCTGAATTGGGAAGGTTAACCACGGTGTTGCTTTGCAAACAAATTCCAGTTGGTGAGGTCTGATCAAGCACAAAAATTCAAGGGTTTGATCACGAACACGCAATGGATGATGCGGCCACCGCCGTCGACCAGTTTTTATTGCAGCCCTCGGAGTGCCTACCCTTTGCAAAAGCGATTCTGGCCACCTTTTGCATGGCCAACCGAATTGGTTTCTGGTTTCTGGACTCTTATGACTCTTATGAATGAAGTTTTGTCATGATGTCTTGCACACCCAACACTGGATACTTAAGCAAGCATTGGTGAACAAGCAGCATCGTCGAATTAGACTTACTACATCCAGTGTAGATGATACAAAAAATACTCAACCAATATCAAATACTTGTTTCTTGTCAAACGTTTGACTAGCTGGGGCTACTGCAACGGTCCCAGTTGGCACATGAATGCGATCGAATGTGTAAGGGTGCCACGATATTGAACTCATGACGTTGGATTCATCGGAGCAAAGATCTAAGTGCAAAGCGACGCAAAACGCACGACTGGAGTGTTCCTTGAATTGCACTTTGACATCTCTAGCAGCTAGCACTCACACCCCTTTCACCATGACTGGACATGATGTCGGATCCCCAAATGACTCTGTCTGTGCAGGTGTGATTCTGCGATATGGTCCAGGCAGCTGACTTCTCAAAATTACACCACTTCACTTCAACCCTGTCCAGCTCGTCTTTTGGGGGAGGTCGTCTTTAGGTGTTTGCCATGCGCGTCACACGGGAGCAAGTGCGTCACACGGGACATGAACAAATTATTGAAAACATGTTCTCCCTGCCTGATCCGATCAACATCTGCCACTGTATGGGTCGTTGAGAGAACCTCGTGGTCATCCAAGTGCACGGATTCCGAAGAAAAATCATGAGTGGGCGAGCCCTTCACACTCATTAAATTACTCCAGACTCTATTTTAGGAAAAAAATAGATTGCGTAAACATTAATCAGCCGTATGTGCTTAAATTACTACCAAACCCTGCATACCCGTACTTTCTCTTATTCCTTCTCCTCCTCCTTCTCTTCCTCCTCAAGGGTGGAACCTCCAAAAACATCTTAAACAGTTGAACTTCCAGCCATGCCCACATCGGCTACGAAATGAAGCCTTCTGTGATGATTGTTTGTTTGTGCTTTGGACTGAGCCCCCAACAGGGTTTGAAACTCAAAACTGGAATTCAAAGCAGGTTTGAAAGAGAGACAATCCTCTCCACCTATGCAAATCCCTACTCACAGCTATAATTTGACATTAACTCATCCCTTGATAAACACATATAAACGTTTTCATGTTCAAAAAAGGTCGCTCAAGTGGGCCCCCCTCAGAACCGTACGTTTTCCCCTGCATGCCGCAGAAACGCGGAAAACAAAGAGAAACAATACGGCGTTCAGGGGAAGAACCTAGGACCAGGTGTGTGTATATATGTATGTGTATATATATACAGTATATACCCAAACACTGCAAGTATGCCATATTTGCCTATATTGGGGTGGTTTCAGCAGTGAATGTAGGCAAATATGCCATACATGGATATTTGGGATACATATATACTTGAGAGGAGGGAGACACGAAAGGTAGGACAGCGGGAAGAGAAGAGAACGCGAGAGGCAGGAACAAAAATGCAATGTTCGACATGGTGATTTACCCCCTCGGAGGCGACCTTTCGTAAATATATTTTCATACGCACTCTAAATGTTCAAACATATGCTCTCGAAATGTTCAAAAAGATTCTAGGAAAACTAACTAGACGACGTGTGGCCCGAAAGCATTTTTCATCACGTAGGAAGTCAGAGTGTGAGTTATCTGTTAAGTGTTCAGTGTGAAGTGTTAAGTCGAGTGAGTTGAGGCAGTGTGTGGGTCTCTGTATGTGTGTATCTATGTCTGTGTGTGTATGAGTCTCTGTCTGTGTGTGTGTCCGAGTAAGTTGAGGCAGTGCGTGGGTCTCTGTGTGTGATGTGTGTGTATGAGTCCCTGTCTGTGTGTGTGTGTCTATGTCTGCTGCTGGTGAAGGTCTTCACTGTAGATATATAATGTGAACGATATTTACGAGAAGCTTATGGGGTGTGTTGAAACTTCTTGCAAGTACATTCTCCATTGCTGTTGACTTGCTTTATGTTCCTGGCTACGATCTGGTGCTAGCTGGCCCAAGTTCTATGGAGACTTGCGCAATCTCACTTTGAGCACCAAAAGGTAAGCTATTATGCAAAATGCACAAATGCATGGCAGCCACACCGCTCTCCAGGTAACGTTTTCTTCACTTGATGTAGTTCACCAACCACTATACTGGTCATTTTCTCATCGACTGTCCCAAAAAACAAAAACGTGCCCAAGTAGCTTCAGGTGACGCGCAGCAGCCATTGCCTATATCTTCGCGCGCTCTCTCTGCTCAGCTAACAACTAGCCTGTGTAAGGTGTCATGGCTTCTCCAGGGTCGTTGCGAACCCTTGTGAAACCCTGCACTGTTTCACTTGCAAAACAGCTGTTTGGCGCTAGCCAAGGCACTCCCGCACACTATTGCAAAAAAACACATGTTTTGAACCAGCCTGAAAAGCCTTTTTTTGTGGAAGCCTCAAATTTACAACTGTTCCCTTCACCGTGTGAAAACCAGGGTCACACCAGCAAAAAATATTATAGAAAACAGTATTTGTGGTGGAAGATCATTGTTGGGAACACGTGTTCCCAACCCAAAGCTTGTCTCAGCGCTGCAGATACGCACAAAAATCGCACTTAACACAAAACATGAAATAGAGGCAGAACCGTTGCACCTTTCTCGTTTCCCTTTTCCAGAACATGGCCAGAAAACATCCCATACCCACTCTGCGTGCACTTCCTTTTTTCCTCTTGGCAATCCAAGTCTTCGGCCAAAAAGATCGAAGATGGAACCACCCTGCCAAGTTATAGCAAAATCAGAGTACACTTCAGCTCTAGAAGGCCCTGTTGGGACAGCTAGCCCAAGGTTTGAGCCCATTACAACGCAGCCCCATGGATCAGCACTTGTTGCACAGTTTGGGCACAAAGCTTCGCTTGTCAAGTGGCTCACAAATCTCACAACAAGGCCAAGGCCTCACCTCACCCAAAGCAAGTATGGCATGCTCTGTACGACTTGGTGGGCCTGTGCCTGACGTGCTGGCACATGTGGTCACCATGGTAGCTTCTGCCTGACGTGGCTATAAACACCTCCTGTGGCACTTCATTTTTTCGGCTGTGGATCCTGGATCTGAGCCCAGGCCCAGAATCGGGGGCAACCATGTCAGTTTCAACTGCCACGCTCCTTTGCTTTGCTTTTGGGAACCACGGGCGACACAAGCATACAACAACTTCCCTGCAAAGCAAGGTTAGGATGCACACCGAAAGCAAAGCTATTTCAAAGGCCCCCATATTACCACGCACGCTTGCAAATGGCTTTGCTACAAAACGCTGGCCCTGGCACAGGCTGCAATGGAAACCTTGATGGGACTGAATTAAAAACCTTGTGATGGTGGAGGCATTTTGTCTTGGACTGCGCGTTTGTGCCTGAAAAGGTTGCTTCGCGAATCAATGGTTTTAGGCTTTTTCGGCTTGAAGTATCAAGGCTGTGTGGGTTACGCATCAAAAGGGTTCTTGGTGCCAAAACCCAGCAAAGAGGAAGAAGAGTCAAACTATTACACGGGAATGTTGGCTGTGAGTGTGCAATTTCATCACCTAGAGGAAGGACATCTGGTTCAGCGCAAAGACCTAAAACCTGCAGTTTGGTACCTGCTCTTTGGTTGGACCTTTGCTGTGGGTTTGACAGGCAGCAGCCTCTTGTTCTCTTTGGCTCAGGGTCAGTGAGTCTCACAGGCTATCTTGCCAAGCTTCCTACCTACGCGAAACCTCCAGGCTGTCAGGTTCCCCTGCACTGCAAACAGCAAAGCAAAACAACAAAACAAAATAAAAACAAATTACTTAAAGGTTTAAAGGTTCGTTGCTGAAAAACAGAAGAGTTCAAATTGCGTACAGTCACTTTACTAACCTATTCTGCTTGCAGTGCTTCCCTCCCTGAGCTCCCAGAAGTCAAGCTCCAAAAACGAGCACCCACGCCGAAACTCAGTGAAAACAAGTGCTTACTACCCTCATCTCAGCGTAGACCACATGCCATGGGAGTTGGCACAGCAAAAGAGCGCAAAGCCTCACAGAAAGCAGGTGCTATAGGAGGCGCTGCTTGCAAGCTGCAACGCAGAGCTCCTCGTCTGCTCTGTGCACGCTTTCCCTTTCTACGGCCCTTCACCTGCCCCAGAGGCCAAGGCTGCAGCAGCACTCCCAGTAATCTGAACCAAGGCGTTCTGATCAGCAGAATTGGCTTTGGCGCGCTTGGGGTTGGGGCGGCGAGCCTCACTGTCGGGCGCACCCCTCTTTTCAACCGCCAATGCTTTGGTCAAGCAATCCAGCAACCTCCCAGTCTTGAGACTCTGCAAGGCTGCGTTGTCATCAACCTGGTCACTGCACAGCTTCATGGTGCGGCTGGCATGAGGGGCACGCAGCAAATGAACTCTCCCTCCATGGCACTCGCCCTGAGAGAAGGAAAGGAAGCAGTGGTCACCTGGGATGGCCACGCCTTTGCCTGGCACAAGGCTCACAGACCAAGTCACTTGCCGGTGGAAAACATCCCAAGTCACTGAAGTCAGCCACGACCTTTTCTCAGCAAGGCTTTCGCCAGGAACCTTAGCAAGGGGCAATCCAGCAAGAATGGCTTTCCCCTCAAACAACAGGCGAACATCTGGGAGACCAAAATCTCCATGCAAGTGGGCATGGCATGTTCCATCACCTTGCTGAAAGAATTGTGGAACACACAACTCCTTGACCATGTTGTCGGAACACCCAGACAAAAAACTCAACGCTTCGGGCCCACACAGCTTTCCCCAAAGGCTACCAAGTTTGGTGGCCACTGCAGTCTTCGTGACAACAGCTGAAAGGAAACAACTGGCCCCTTGCTTCTTCATTTGCTCGGCGACCCAAACCTTTTGAAACTTAAAGTATTCATTATTGGCCATCTCGGTGCAGTAGCTGGAAGCCTGCCCCTCAGACAAAACCACTGGGCAAATCTCCTGCGAAGGATCGGCAAGGAGCAAATCCTTCTCAAGGCTCCACGCAATCCCAAAGTCCCGATCCAATGAACCATCATTGGCAAACTTGTCAATCGCCTGTCGGCACAAGCCCAAATTGTGCCAAGACGAGCCAACGGCAAGCTTTGCACTTGACATCGCTGCACTCTGGGCTTTTGTGGCAGCTTTGTCCTTCTTTTTGCTGGAAGCTTTGCACTTTGCCAACCAAGAACGCCACTCTTTGACAATATCCCTGAAACTCTTCAAGGATGTAGAATTTGCCAGCCAGTCCTTCAACCCCTTCGCAATCTCCAAACACAAGTCATGGAGGTCTTGCGCACTCTTGGCCTCCAAGCTTGCAGTCAACTGCTGCTTCCAATCCTTCTCCTTGGTGGCAATTTGCTCAAGAATGAGAGGCAAGAAACCATCTGCCTTGGTCTGAAACTCTCGCGCCTCCTCTCGCAACATCTCAGTTTCAAGAAGGTTTGAGTCTTCTTTCGCTTGCTCTTGCAGCGCCTTCTGCCTGGACACTGCATCATTCATGTTTTGGACGCTTCTCTGGATTGCTGCCTCCACACCCATCGCTTCCACGCCAACACTCTTGACAGGGTTGGTCGGCTTCTTGTTCTCCTCCTTCTTTTGGGCAGCAGTGGCTTCCAAGGTCTGCATCCACTGGGATTCCATTTCTGCTTCAATGGCCTTGGCCTTGGCCATGTCCTGGGCCACATTGAGCAACGGAGTGTGGCCTTGGAGCGTTCCTTCCAGGAATGCTTGCCGGTCAGATTCCAAACGCCAAGTAGCCTTCTCCGCCTTTGACTTGACTTCATCTTTGAAGTCTTGCAAGTCAGCTTCCTCTGTCAGATCTGCTCGCTGCCGCACGCCATGGCTGAGAGAATGCGAGGAGCCAGCTTTGGCCTGGACGCCTTGGAAAGAAGCCAACAAGGTCTCGCCCCGCTTCACCTTGGTCTTGGCGCCAGACTTCTTGCATTCCAACTTGAAAGCTGCCTCGGCAGCTTCCAGTGTGTCGAATTTCTTCAAGGTCATCATGCGGCCACACCACATTTCAGATGTCTCGAAGACATCAAGCTCGTGCTCTGCGAACTTCTGCTTTTCCTCGTCCACAACGAAGCCAACTCCGGTCGAGAAAGTTCGCTTGCAACCTCGCTCTTGTTGCTTGCGCTCATCTTTTTGTTTCTGGTACCAAGCACTCTTCTCCTGTGGGCTCATCTTTGTCAACGCAGACTTTGTGGCTTCTGCTTTCTCTCTGCGTTCTTTCTGCTGATCGGACTCCACTCCTGAAGGCTTCTTGGAAGCCCGCAACAACCACTTGTCAGTGGACACGCAATCCAAACAGTTTCGCCGGAGCTCACATTCCGACCATTTGGGATTGACTCCCGCAAAGTGGTAGGCTGGGCACACTTTTGGCAGTTCAAGTTCACTCCACCTTCAGTCAAGGTCTGACCCTCAGGGTTTGCAGGACCTGCAGCGTTTGCAGGTTCTGCGCCCTTTGCAGCGTCCTTGACTTGCTTGGCTGCCTTGCTGCGGGCCATCTTCAAGGGCAAGTCAGCTAAGTGAGTCTGTATTGAAAGCACTGAACAAAAAAGCTGCTTATCACACGGCCGGGTGACTGGCAAAGGTTAGTAAGGGGGTTGGAGTCAAAGCAACTGACACTTCAAAGCACAAACCTCCAGAGGGCCTCTCGGAACCTGTTAGAAAAACAGAGCATCTTGTCTGAAGCACGGTGTCTACTCCCTACTACTCCCCATTGGTTTTTCTCACTTGCTTGATTCGTCTGAGTCAAAGGTGAATTTGCCGAGTTGAAGGTTCTCAGCTGTCAGCAGTCAGCAGGACACTGCTTCTACGAGCTTGCAAAAAAACCACAGCACGGGCCAGAGCTCGTGTGTGAATTGGACTTTGGACACGGTAAGGGGCAAGCCAAACATGGCACAGTCAAACTAGCACCGCACTCTCTTCCGCTTCTGCCCTTGTGTTGCTGTCTCCTGAGGCGACAAGCGCTGCAACTTTGGGCGTTCTTGCGGACCACCACTAGGAATCAACTGTGCAAGTTGGGTGGTAGACAATTTCTCCACACCTTCCTTTGTCAACACCCCTGCGGTAGTTGCAGCTTCCAAGAGTGGAGACAACATCAAGGCAACCTGGAGCACATTGAAAGCATTCCCTGAAGCTGCCATCGCTGCACTTTGAGTACGAAAATGCTCGCTCAACTCGGCACCATGCCCTTGCAACAAGAAGCGCTCGTCGATGGACAGGAATCGGTGGTACTTCTGCTTTTCCCAGCACGAGGGATTTGCAGACAAATCAGGCAAGCTGACGAGGAAAATCTTGGGCCCTCCACAGCGTAGGCTTGGGATTGAATCCCAGCAAACTGCACCACCATACTGTCGAAGAGGATTGCGGTCAAGTTCAACGGCCATGACTTCTGCAGTCGCTTCTCCTTTCGCCATAGCATCCAAGGCCAAGGCCTTGTACAGGGCCAAATTAGCCTGCATTGTTTGAGTCAGGCTTTGAGGGCTTACATTTGGCAGACCTGGCTGTAGGAAATCTGAGAGTTTGAGCTGCAAGCGGCTCACTTCTGACACGCTCTTCGGCGGCGGCAAACAGCTTCCAACCAAACAATCACGCCTGAGGCCCCTCAACCACAGCCTGGGCCTGCTGTGGGGGAGGACACATTTCAAGTCTTGCTCCACAACCTCGACCAAAAAAAAGGGACAGCTCAAGCAAATTTGGTCAACCAACTTCCAAAAAAAATCATGAGAAGCAATAGCCACGCTGTTCTCAAGCAAGAAGCAAACCAGCGAACCTGCCCAAGCCATGTGGATCACCCACTTGACAACGATCTCAAAGATTTCACTGCGGGGGTCTTTGAACCCCTCACCACGCCCATTGGGCGCGTAAGGTTGGCACGGCGGCCCAGACACAAGCGCTTCACACTGAGGAAGGTCTTCACTGGACACCAAAGAAATGTCTCCCAAGACGGGTCCACACGCCACACCACCCAACCCTTCAACGCCACTCTTCTGGAGGGAAACGTAGAACTCTTCGATCTCAGAGTCGAAATCATGGGCGAAGCAGGCATGGTATGGGACGCCAGAAGCTGCAGCCCAACTCCTCAATCCACCAATTCCGCAACAAGGCTCTGCAACCAAGGGGGTGCGGCCTAAGTACCTCAGGACACGGCCTGCCCTGTGGAGAGCTTCCTGGCAGCCCAGCACCATGGCTTGTAGTTTCCAGAGCCGCGTGTTCCACACGGGTCTGTGTCCCAAAAAAACAAGGCAAGAAGCAAACGCGTTTATGAAAACGAACGTGTTGGACCAAGGTTCTCTGGGCTCTAGCTGTCTTGACAAACGATGGCTTGAATCATACAAACACGCGCTCCCTGCTTTCTTTTTGGTTCAAAAGGCAGCAAAGTCAACAAACTTGAACAACTCGCTAACTCGCTTTTTGCTTTAAACATTCCATCGCTAAAAACATTTACGGTAAAAGAAACAAAAAATGTAAAAGACCGTATTTGGATTCACGACTCACAACCAGGCGGCGAACGCAAGGAGCGTTTGCTGTGTCGGCCTGGGGCTACATGGGAGCAGTTGGATGGAATAATTACAACGCGATTGGCCACGGCCAGTGAGTGACCAAGTGTTGAAGCCATTCGCGCTTGCTTGTTGTTTGTAATGCCTCTGTTTTGGAACCCGGGACACTTCTTAAGACAAGTAGGGTGGCTAACCAAGCGGGAGATATCCATAGACCACACGATAAAGGGTGGAAGGCAGTGAAACTCAAAAACAAAACAAAAATACACTACAATGATTTGGATGGCAAGAGTCTGGATGGCTGAAGAGAGCAAGAAACAGGGCGAGACAACCGCAGGACACTTGCGAGACACTTGCAAGACACTGCGAGACACTTGCGAGACACTTGCGAGACACTGCGAGACACTTGCGAGACACTTGCGAGACACTTGCGAGACACTTGCGAGACACTTGCGAGACAATTGCGAGACACTTGCGAGACACTTGCGAGACAGTTGCAGCACAGTTCAAAAGCATAGTTCAACAAGGAGAAAAACTTGCGCAATGATAGACAATATCCCTGATAAAGTGACAAACCATGACTTAATGAATGTTTTCTGGACATGTTCACAGAGATTCGCCTCAAAATTCACCAAACACATAGAAATTGACAATGTCTTAGGATTTTCTCTTGCCAACACATCTCTCTCTTAAAAGAACCGCTCATAAACAGTCACATGACAAACGCTTGCCTTTCTTCTGCAAGCACGGGCTGACAGTCTCAAAAAGGTTCCGGCTTCACTCGGTGAGGTCTGCAGAGCTCTTGCCTCGAAGTAGAATGTTCGTGGTTTGAAGCAGCGCTCGGACAGTAGCATGGCGCTCTGCCTCACTGGCCGCACCAACACCAGCAGCTGGGGTAGGGCGCTCGGATCCCAACTCTGATTCAACACGCACAGGCTCAGCACGGCGCTCAACAGGTGGTGGCTTCTGGTCATGGACATCTCCAGCCCCACTCTTGGGCACGTTTGCCTCAACCGGTTCAACCTTGACCGCCTTTGGCATGGCTGGTGGTTGTGGCAAATGAGAAAAATCCCGAACAACATGGCCACAGGACTTAGATCGATGACTCTGGTCACGATCTTCTGGCATTCGCCGTCCTTGCAAAGTCGCAGGCAATGATTTCCCTTTCCTTCCTTCGCCCTTGGACTTCTGCCGGTAGAATATGCTCCGCTCAGCAGCTTCTGTGCTGTTGGGATGCTTGCTCCAATAATGCTGCGACAACCCATAGTCCCCAATGTGCTTCTCAAAGGTCTTGTCACACAAGCGGCATCGAAGTTCCCCGGTCTCACCAGAAGCAGCATCATGACCTGGAGACTGAGCACGAGGGCGAACAGGTGCAGGCGTAAGCCTCAAACCTGAAGGGCCTGGAGATCGGTTACGCCTGGGCCTGTGGTTCGGACTAGACTTGCGCCTCCGACGGCGGCTGCGGCTGCGATGACGAGTGTGACGTGTTTCTTTCCCAGACTTGCGGCTACGCTCCCTCGGCTTGGACTTGGACTTGCCACGAGACTTCTTCCGCCGCTTTGGAGGTGTAGGGTGCCCCAAGACTCTGGTGGGGCTCTCTGAGCTTTGTACAGCATCCTTCTGAGGTGGCTGCTCTTCTTCTGAAGACTCCTCAGCCTCAGAAGAGCTGAGCTCACCTTTGACTGCAGGAGGCATGGCGCTTCCCTGCTCTTTGTCCTGCAGACAGCACACGCGCGCGAGAAACAGTGCAGAAAAAAACTAGCATCTAAGTACTAAGAACTATGTTTGCCGCGCCAGGGTTGGATGCTTTTGCCGCCCTAGGTCAACAAGGTTGGAAGGTGCAGCCGCCAGCCTCATGGCTGGTTGGGCTTGTCACAATCGCCTTGTTGCTCAGGGTTGGGCGCAAGCACCGCCCTCGACGCTTGGGTTGGACTGCTAGGCCGCCACCCTTGGTGGTTGGGCCTTCGCAGTCGCCCTTGCTTTTGGAATTGAAAACATTAGTTCTATTGATTTCAACAATAGTGCTTGCCCTCTGATACAGTTTTATTTGTTTCTTGTGAAAACTGAAAACCTCTGAGCCCCAAACATGACCCCCTGCCCCCAAAACCATTCGTCCTCTTGTCTGCTCGGCATCCTCGAAGTGCTAAGGGCGCTGCGACCCAAACAACTCCACGCAACACCCGGCAGCTTGAGCACAAAAACAATGTTCAAACAAATGTCCGTCTAGAAGTAGTTGTGACCACACGCGCGATAAAAAAACATTCAACATTTCCTGCCACTGCCACGCCCTAACCCTTATTCTAAAAATCTTTTGGTATCAACAAACAGTTAAACAGAAACAATGTAAATTGTTTTTCTTTGGCCACCATGTTGGTGAAGCTCGAAAGTCTGAGGGAATCAGCTTTGCTGGCCCCTCGTTTCAAAAGAGGTTCTGCAAACGTTTCATCTTGGCTACTTCCATTTCAGTGGGGTCAGTGGATTTGTGCTCCTCAGGGGAACCGCATCTTGCCCCTAGTGCGTTCCATGCAAAGAGCCATGCCTCAGCTGTTGGTCGGTCTCCATGGTTCTTCACAAAAACATACCGGCGACAGGCCCGGTGGTGGACGCAAGCTGTGAAAGCACGCAGATTTCCACTGGCATGGGTGAAGCGGTCATAGTGGACAACAACATCCTTCATGGTAGGCTCCTTGCAACCAACACTTTGAAGTTGCAAATCACCCTCAGGAATTTGCAAAAGTGAACGCTCCACATCATCTAAAGGAAGCATATCCTCATCGGCGAGGACATCTGCTCTGGAAGAAGTGGCCTTGCCACGCCCTCCAGACTTCGCTTTAGCGCGAGCTTTCTTGGTCTTGTTGTAGTTGAGGCACTCCTCGCCTGTCATTTTTTGAAAACAGATGTGTCTTCAGCCAACAAGAAATCATTGTAGTAGGACGCTGGCGCCAAATGGTGAATTCTGTCAGCCCCTCCTGGCCTCTCAAACAAAATTTCATGCACCAGCAATGCCTTGAAGTAGGCCTCGGGCCTCTTCCAAAGCTGATCGCACAAAATCTTTTTCCTGCCTTTATGAAAGAAAATGAGGTTGTCCTTCCATCCCTTCATTGACCAACCATCCTGCAACAAAGCCAAAACAAAAGCAAGCTTACATGAACGACGTGACCTCTGCCGCGCGCAGCCAGGAGAATGGAACTCCTCCAGCAAACACGCAGGCTCAGTCAGCCTCATGCCTGGAAAGATTTGGCCGGCATCAGCAAGCCACCAATGGTCATCGCCCAGCTCATCAGTTTCTTTTTTGATCAGCCCCAACGCTTCCAGTGACTGGATGGCTTGGCTGCTGTAGAACGACATGTCCCACACACCACAAGCACTTTCAGCCCCAAAGGCTTTCCTGTCAACAAGCGACATCAAGGTAGATTGCTGGTCATGGGTTATGGGGCGCCCTGCAATGTCCACGCTCAACCCAGTTTCATGTTTTTTCCCCTGGTAAAATTCAATGGCTCTCTCTTCAGATGCATCGTAAAGCAACAATGATTCCAGGGGGTCATCGTCGCCAAAAAAGTCCGGCAATGTCAAGGGGACCTCGGAAGATGTCAAGGCAGGATTCAGGTTCACTTGCAGTTCGGAACAGCTGGCCCTCCACACCACAGCATCTCGGCAAAAGGTCTCGAACTCCGCTGGCAAGACCCAGGCCGACACATCCAAAAACACTGCCTCTCTAGCTTCAACGGTAAGTTTCACCCCACCTCCCTCCCACGCTACCTGTGGGAAAAACGAAACGCAAAGCACAGTTGAAGGTTGCCTTGTCTTCCTTGTTTTCACAACCACTTTAGCTTCGGGGTGAGCATCAACCACCGAGAAAAACACGTGCTCCTGCAGAGCATGCAACTCAGGCAACTTGGGAGACAGGAGGCACTTCTCCAGGACACTTGCAGACGGGACATCTGGCCCTTCTGCATGGGAAGGCAAAGTACCAGCGCGCCAAAGACTTGCAGGTACGGACGCAAAAGTGCCATTCGGTAGAAAATGCTTGATGAAGAAAACCATTTGCATTGCCTCATCAGCCAGGACCTTGAAAGATTTTTCCAGGGACAGCTGCACTTTCTTAACTGTTTTCTGAAATGCATCAGCTTCTTTCTCCCATTTGCTCATATCAGCGAAGTGGTCTTTGGGGTGGCACGCATACACACGTTGACAACGCTGCGCAAAAGTCATAGCATGAACCTCTTCCTGTGGCAGCATGTGTTGCAGGAGGGTGACAAACAAAGTCTTGGTATGCCAGTGCTCTGCCAACCAATGCAAATGGTCCCGAATCATGGCCTGCACTTCTGCCCATCGCTTGCGGGCAGCTGCAACAACTGGGCCTGCAAACCTGAAACCACGCTGCGCATGAAACTTGACACGCGCATGTTCACCTTCAGTGTGTCTTTCAGTCAAAAGCGCAAATGCACGAGCACGGATAGCAATAAACGCATCGGGGTAATCATGAAGCGGCTTGTCCTCGGTCACGGCAAAATGCCTCAACTGCATCGCTACCACAGCATCATGTTCCAGCAGGGACGCCGACACGGAATCCCTGTTGTGAGGCAACAAGGCATCATACTCTGCAATGCCCCTGGCCACCGCATCTTTGGCAGCCGCCAATGAATAGCCGCAGTAGTGCCCAAAAGCGCCTGCCAATACATACGGCAAGGTGTGGAAAGGTTCCAACTTCTTTGTTGTTTCACAAAATTTGGTTTTTGTCAGGAAGTCAATCTCAGCAATTCGTTGGGCTTCTGACCTGTTGGCATCCAAAAGGCCCATGGTGTATTGCCAACTGCCACCGTTCATCACGCGACGGCACAAATCTTTGCAATGGCCAAGCGCAAGTGCAGGTAGACGCCTGCCTTGCCAAACACAAGATCCTCCAGGGCATTGTTCTGCAAGCATCTGCTTTCTTCTTTGCCACCTGTTGTGAGAAGCCAAAAGTTCAGAGTGGCAAAAGCATCCTTCAAACCATGTGGCTTCCCGCCCAACAACTGAAGTGTACATACAGAGCCATGAGAGGAACAGGTAATGCCAAGAACTGCCCAAAGCTTCGGTAACCAACTGCACATACTTGCTGCTTTCGTCTGGAAACACGGCTGGGTCCCAACGATCTTTTATGAGCGGGTAAACTGCAAACCACTGGTGAACAACTTCTTGCAAACTCTGCCAACGCCAATTTAAAAGCTTTGCTGTGAAAGCTTCAACTGTGGCCCTATCTGAAGCAGAAGCCTCCTTAAACAACTTGTCCAAAATTAAGCTCTGAGAGTGGGGTTCTGAAACAACATGGCAGGCTGCTTGCAATTGTTGCTCCATGCGCTTCCACTCATCAATTTGCAGGATTGACTCTTCAAGGGCATTGAACATGATATGCAAAATCCCTGGCACGCTGAAGGACAATGGGAAAAGAATTGGATCTTGCGAAGACCCTGCTTTTGCATCTGCAGAAAAGCTGGACAAGAACTCGGCCAAATTCCCTTCCAAATTCACAGGGTAGTGGCATAAATTCCGCTCCACGCCCTGATCCGACAAAAAGGATACAATTTGGCTTCGCCATGTTGACAAAGAATCCTGGCCGTACTCTAGGCAGGCGCAGTGTACCAGCAACCTTGCTTTGTGGGCTGCGCTAGCGGCTCCCTTTCCTAAAGTCAACGCTGGCAAGCTACGGCGCTCTACTTCAAACCCTTCTTTGAAAGCATTGAATCCATCTGAACCCCTGAAATTCACAGGTTGGCGCACAACATCTTCAATTGCGCAGAAAAAGTTTTGATGAGCTTGGGGAGACGCATCTGCACTCAGGAAGCGGTGGACATGGTACCCCACGCTGTTTGGGTGATGAAACACACGGCGATGCAACATAAGGAACAAGTCCAATTTGATCAATGATTTTCTCAAAGATTCTCTATTGGGCACTGGTGGCATGCCTTTTTGAAGCTGAGACCCATCTGGATCCAGTATCCTGGCGCACATATTCAAAATGGCGGGCATTTCTGCAAAGCTCTGCAACACATATGCCATTTGAGAAAACAAAATGTCTTGTATCGGTGTTCTCTGTGAGCTTGAACTTGGTTCGCCCACGAGCTGATGCCCCTCACCAGCTTCGGAGCCAAGGCCATCTTCTCCTCGCGCCGCTGAAGATGGGCCTTCTGGTTCCACGCGCAATTTTTGAGCAAAAGCAACGGGTGTGACCAGCAACAGTGGTTGCTCAGCCACAGCCCCAGGCACTCGAAACAAATAACCGCAGGCCCATGTTCGGGGACAAGTTCCTCTCTGAACAGGCCCGCTGTCGCTGGCCTCTGACTCTTGAGAATGCCACACACCGCCCTGCCCCACAACTAAGGCATGGATTGCTTCTGGCATCTTTTGAAGGGGATGCATTTGTTTCCCAGACAAGAGGCCTGCTTCGATTTCAATGGGTTCATCATACACAAACGCGGTGGAAACTTGCCAGCGAACATATTTCCCTGAGTTCCCTGTCCCAGCAGACTGCTTTGCTTCAGCTGGGGTGTTTGCACACGCTTTTTTAGCAACCCTTTCCAACGCATCGCTCACCCAAGAATCTTCCAAGTGACCACGTGACGCAGCAGTGGAACCAGGGTCCAATAACTGGCACCCAATGCTTTTGACAGCGCACACAAGAGACCACCCATCAGAAGCTTTGCGCCCCTTTGCAGTGCAAAGGTGGATGACAACTGGGAAAAAGATTTTGTCTTGCTTCACGCCCTGCCGCCCAAGCACTGCCCCGACTTCTTTGAAGTTAGGCTGCAGGATGACCGGCTCCATGGCACCCAATTGCCCATGGCAACTTTGTGTAAAACTTTTGACTAGTCACAAATGCTGTCGTGGACATAGCTCATTTTACGGTTTCTTTAAAGACTCTTTGTCAGTGATAAGAACAAAAGCTCCAACGCGCACAGCAGAGGCAATGAAACATGAAACTCAACGCTCCTGTGGGTGAGAATAAAGGCATATCTGCATATCTTTATGGGGACGCAGCTCCAGTCTGGCCAATTGTTTTCATGTAAGGGCTAGCTTGTTGGAGCAGAAAAAGGAATCAAGTGATTCGGGCAAGCCTCTGACACAAAACAGACACGCAACAACAACCTCTTTGCCTCTCTACTCTACATGGGCTAAACACAGATACAAAGACACGCGCTCTGAACATTTGCCCTGCAACGGTGGCCGCAGGCGTTCCCACTACCAAACGCGGACAACCCTCAAAACGGTTCCAACGACCCCAGGGAAGCCATGCTACCTTAAGCCTGTGTATACGGAAAAGATTCCCCGAAAATATGTCTAGCAACGTCCTTGTTGTCCTTCCGCCGAACGACGTCCGGCTGGAACGACTCGGTGTCACTCCAGGTCTAATGTGAGTTTTGTGTTAAGTGTGACGTGTTCAGTCTTGTGCGTCGAGTCCGTGTGTGGGTCTGTGTGTGTCTATGTGTGTATCTGCGTCTGTGTCTCTGCACAGGCGAGGGGCTGTAGACGTCCATGCGCAGATGGCACGGCAGCACAACAGTCTGGCGCACAACCGCCCACCTCTCTCGCTGCGTCCGCACAACGCTGAATAGGTCCACCACACACTGTTCGCAGTGACAGTGTGGATGCGCAGGTGCGCTTACATGTTACATGTCACGAAGAAAGGGCAATTGCCCTGGATTTGGTCAATGGGCTCCACCGCATTCCAATGCACAAGATTGAGTTCTTGCAAACCAACGTTTCTGCCAAATTTAAAGATGGATCCTGTCTTGAGGAGTGCGTGTGTCGAGCACCAGCAAGCACCCGAATTTTGTGCTGAAACTCACGCGGGCCGGTCGCACTCTCGACCACGCGCGATCTCCGCAGAGGGTTGCGCGCACACCGGACAGATCGCACTCTCGCCTGCATTTCGCGCACTCGACACGCACGATCTCCGCAGAGGGTTGCGCGTGGACCGGACAAATCGCACTCTCGCCTGCATTTCGCGCACTCAACACGCACGATCTCCGCAGAGGGTTGCGCCGGGGTGGGACAAATCGCACTCTCGCCTGCATTTCGCGCACTCGACACACACGATCTCCGCAGAGGGTTGCACGCACACCGGACAAATCGCACTCGCGCCTGCATTTCGCGCACTCGACACGCACGATCTCCGCAGAGGGTTGCCCGCGTGCAGGACAAATCGCACTCTCGCCTGCATTTCGCGCACTGGACACGCACGATCTCCGCAGAGGGTTGCGCGCACACCGTACAAATCGCACTCTCGCCTGCATTTCGCGCACTCGACACGCACGATCTCCGCAGAGGGTTGCGCGCACACCGGACCAATCGCACTCTCGCCTGCATTTTGCACACTCGACACGCACGATCTCCTCAGAGGGATACATTTTCGGTTGACGCTGTTCGTCCCACCCTCCGCCTTTAAGAGAGAATTTATAAAATGGGGTAATGTTTTTCATTAGGACATCTCCCGTGCAAGTTATCATTAGGACATCTCCCGTGCAAGTTTTCCATACTCACACTTGCATACTCATTGGGACATCTCCCGTGCAAGTTTTACTTTTGCACTTGGATACTTGCCGTTGGATGCTTTCACTCTTCCACTTACACTGGGATACGTATAGAAGTGTCAGCGTTCAAGTGTAAGTGTGGAAGCGTAAGTGTCCAACTGTACGTGTAGAAATGTCAGTGTTCAAGTGCAAGTGTGGAAGTGTCAGTGTGTAAGTGTAAGTGTAGAAGTGTCAGTGTTCAAGAGATTTTCCGGAAGAACCCTTCGCAATGCTTTCGGGAACAAACTTGCCCCATGGCTCAGATCATTGGTGAGTCGGTGAGCATTGAATCGAAGCATCATAGGATTTGAACTATCCTGAAACCATAAGAGGCTCACGAAGACGTTCCCCAGGAGAGAATTGACGTGCTTTACAAAACAAACTCTAGGTATGTATCCCCTCGGGGAACACCTTTCGTGGTTAGAATTTCATATGCACTCTTTCTGAGTGTTCAAGAGGGTTTCAACTATCCTGAAATCATGAGAGGCTCACGAAGACATTCTGCAGGAGAGAATTGAATTTAGTGGGGGGGAGGGGGGGGTCTGTATTGAAAAATCAATTCGAGGGGGGGGGTCTGAATTGAGCGATCAATTATTCGACCCGGACGCGCCAACACTTGCTTCGCAAGACAAACTCAAGGTATCCCCTAAAGGGCTACCTTTCGTGATATATATATATATACACATGTGTCCTGAATAATCTAAGAAACAATTGAACTTTCACTCACGTCTGCTGCGAAATAAACCCTTTCCGATGGTTGTGTATGTCTGCTTTGGAAAAGGGGCTCCGTAAAGGGTTTGAGCCTGATTGAAAACATGATTGAAATAGACATAAACCTCTTCTCTCAGACAAATCATTCACGAAAATTTACAGGAAACTAACAAGAGCTTTCTCAGGGGCACAGTAAAGGTGGGAATGGGGTGAGGACTCAGAGATTAAGACACCCCACCAGCTTCTTGAGATTTCTTGTGGATATTAACAGATATAACATATGTATATATATATATGTATGTATTAACTCAAGAACGAAAACCCTCGGCGGGCGCACTTTTGCGCTCGCACGTCCCGGGCTCAAGGCCTGCGGTATTCGAACCCGCTACCACGTCGTTCCGGACCCTCTGGCATGACCACTATGCTACCAAGGATGCGGCATGAACTCTCACGCGCACTGTTTGCTATAACTGACTCCACATTCCTCAATATTCTGAGAGTTCATGCTCATGTGCATCATTGTGTGAGCTACTGGTGCCACGTCTTGTGGCATCTGCGCCATCTCAACCTCATAGGCCAGCTCGCGCATGCGCTTTGCAATGAGGGCCTTCTTCTCCTCATCTTCAAACATACACGCAGCTTCCGGTGAAACATTCAGGGGAAAATAGCCCTTCTCTTTCGACTTCAATCTCCCCCATTGTTCTTGGCTCCTGTTTCCTGGAGGTTCCACCGGCTTTGATGATACGGCCGGTCTCTCCGTTATCTCCTGAAAGGTCTCATCATGTTGATCTTCCCGCTCCTCCATGGAAGCGCTGTCTTCTTCATTTGGCGCC